TACTTTTTTTCTTACTATAGCTATACATTTATATTCATAGTTGATATTAACAGTGAAAATATATTTTTACGTTCTTTAAAACATAATTATCTTCTGAATTTTTTTTTCAGATTATTAAATTAATCAATATTTATTCATCGGGTAACAATCTAGTTTTTAATTAATTATTGTTTGAATTTAAAATACAATACCATACAACAAGTAAAATTCTTAAAAGTTTTATGATATACTTATTAAAAATAATGATATGAAATCATATCCTAAAGAAGGCCTGAATACTTAATTCTTTTAAATTAATAACTCAGATTTTCAGATAAAATCTCAAAATATAAACAATCCAGTTTTTAGAAAATAATAATAAAATATATGAATAGTTCACCTTTTGGAAAATTTTAAAAAGTAGAATTAATTTCAATGTATTAAGAGGAGGTGACTCAATATATATATATATATATTGCAAGATGGTGCCAGTTGCAGATTAGATTTGGCGCTGCGGACCAACTACTTGGCAAGTTGACGAACCCAATTCTTGAAAGTGTGACCAATCTGATCTGATCTCAAACATCTAATGAAAATCTTTTGATTTCTTGTCTGAAAATCCACACCTTTAAATGGTCCAAACTTTACCTGTGGGCTAATTCAAGCCTTATCACTTTTACCAAAATAACGGAGAAGGAAATTCATGATTTTCTAGAATCCAAAATGCTGATTAACAATGTTTAATTACTTGGACAATGAATGACTATATGTTGATGTTAATATTTTATTTTTAGAAATTGAAAGAGCAAAGGATTGGTAAATAGTTATTTTTTATTTTTTTTTAAGATTATCCGATGATTAAATAACTTTATTATAAGAAATTGTTATAAATAAAACAAATAAACATTAAACTCTAAGAATAAATTTTTTTGTTCTTGATCTTTCATAATAAAAACTTTAAGAATAAATAAAAATAATCATAATTTTTTTACTTTGATTATTTGGGTAATATTTATAACTTTTATACTATGAACCATGTTTTTTTTTTTTCAGAGAATTACAAATCTTTTTCTCTAGGATATCTTAATAAGAAAGAAATCCTTTATATTAATATTAATATTGATGTAAATATATCCTATATAATATTAATATTGATAAGAATTACTTTTTTATTAGTTCTGACAAATAACTAATAAAGCTATAAAAAAATTTATATAATATTTTGTATACAATATTAATGTTAATGAGAACAATCCTTCCATAGCATTAATATTGATTAAAATATATTTGGTTTTAAGAGGATTTTCATGTATCTAAGAATATAGAGAAATGATTACTCGGAACTCTTAGTATCTTGGGTTAAGGGTCTTAGAGATAGCATCGTGACCCAACATAAGGTCAGTAAAGACCATTGTTTATATAATTTAAATTCAAGAATGTTGAGTTTGATATTTTTACATGTCTAAAGACAATTGAGCTTATGTATAATCAAGTTCAAGAGAATGAGGTCTAGTATTTTGCTGGACCTATAAGTATTTAAGTTTAGCACGTAGTTGAGTTCAAGAATATTGGGTATGATATTTTGTCAGATGCACAACTATTTGAATTTAACATGTAGTCGAACCTATTAAAATTATCAAGCCCACAACTATTTGGGTTTAGCACATAGCTGAATCCAAAAATATTATATATGATATTTTGCCAAATACATGAGCGTTTAAATTTAGCACGTTGTTGGGCTCAATGGAGTTGTTAAATCGAAAACTGTTTGGGCTTAACATGTAATTGAGTTCAAGAATATTAAGTTTAATGTTTTATCATAACTATAAGCATTTGATTTTAATATATAACTATGTTTAACATAGATTAGTATGATATTTTATCAAACCCGTAAATATTTAGATTTAATATAAACCCATAAATATTTACAAAAATATTTTATTCCCATCTTATTTCTGACGTTCTTCTATTCATGGGACTTCCAACCAAGTGAATTGTATAAAAAATGTTGATGCATTAGTACTGGTGCCTAGCTTTCCTACGTTTGAGCTGCTACAACTACAGATCTTTTATGCCAATCCAATTGTAAAAGCATGTGTTCCATTCAATAATTAACCCATTCGCTATCGTCCTCGAAAAAGGGAAACAACAACAGGTCACACGAAATGTTATTAAGCTAAAGCTTAACGTACACAATTTGTATGTCAAATAAATGATTTCTTACTGAACAAAGACTAGATTTCGTTCGAAGCTGGTGCAGCTTTCGCCTGCTGAATAAAATGGTGGCCATCAATGACAACCACTTCAACGTTAGGTACGAACTCCTTGAATATTTCTCCATTAATGTAGTCCTTTGTCCCAGAAGATGAGAACCCCACGTCTTTGTCACCAGCTATGAATTTTGTGGGCACAGCAATTTTAACTCCCTGCCATGGTCCAAGAAGCTCCCAGTGATCCCTTCATAAAAAAGGCAAACGTTATACATTCCGTGAATATATATTTTCTTATCAATTCTCTAATTCCAGAAGTAAATGATATGTTCGCAGTCGGATAAGAAAGGTGGCCTGAAGAGGCAAAGGTGGCCTGCCACTTCTGCACCCCAGTCATGCCCTACCACAAATGCCTGGTCATGACCACGTACAACATTGCACAACGAGACATCACTTTATTGCACAAAACATGATTTCTTATCACAGTAATTAAGTCAAAAAATAAAAAATAATATCGAAAGCCTAAAAAATTCTTTCCCCGGTCCTCTCCTAGCTCAATTGTCAAGTCTCCAACGATATGGAGAGTTAATGGCATACGAAGATGGATCCTGCGGACAGTCTGAGACTCCATACCCTCGCAGGTCTGGTGCGACGACATGGTAACCATGTGCAGCCAGGAGATTAATTTGGTGAATCCATGAGGACCACAGTTAGGGAAGCCATGCATGAATGAGAAGAACAAGTGGTCCTTGCCCTTTTTCTGCTATGTGAATTGATATTCCATTAACATGGATTTTCCTCGCTCATGATTTTTTTCTTTCTAAGTTCTGTTTGATATCATTGATTTTTCTTCCTTCTTTATATAGGACTTGCTACATTACTGAGAGACTGAACTTTCAGTCGGTTTGGTCTTCCGCAGAAGATTCAACGCTAGAGACACGCATGCAGAGAATTCAGCCAGTGACATCTCTAGAAAACTCATTCTGAAAATGAAAATGGATTTTCTTTGTTTATGGTGCATCATTACGCTTGCAAATAGATAGTTGACGTCCTTTGGCACAAAAAGAAAAAAAAAAGAAAAGAACAGGGGATAAAATCGCAAAGAATCCGGAATTGGAGGTTCAAAAGAAATATCGTGTTTCTTTTGCTTAGAAATTTATGGTTTTTGAGTATGTGCAAAGTATTGTGTTTCTTCGGTATTTTAAAATCTCATATTTTTTTTTTTATTGAAAAAATCCCAAAGGACAGATTTTTTGAATTTAGAAATGAGAAGTTGTTGCAAAATTTATGAATCTTGATACATATTGGTTTGAATGAGCCAAAAATATAGGCCACGTCAAAGTCTTGGACCTAAGGTCCAACCCAACCCAATAAATCCCATAATTACTTATTCTCACATCCTTGAGTAGCCTAAAACTCAACTAGCTGTATTTGATATTAAAGTTGTTGTTGTGGTTATGATTTAAAAAAAATTATTTTATAAAAAATATTTTTATTTGAGTTTAGTTTGGAAAAATATATGTTTGGTTAAAATTATAATTGAAATTGAGGTTAAATAAAAATCAGATTAATATATTTGGTAACCGCATTCCTAAAAATATTGAAATTTTTTATTTTTAGAAAAAAATAATTTTAAATCTTCATTTTGTAAAATTTATCTCGAATACCTAACTAATAAAATATACATTTCAATCCTTTACGGGAAATTGAAAAAATCATGAGGAGACAATAGTGTAAAAACAGAATTCTATTTGTTATCTATCAGAAAATAAAATGGTTAGCTAATTTTCCTGAAACGCTTCAACTCAATAAAAATTATCGGGTGGCATGTAGGGCCTCTTTTTCTTAAAGAAGTCTTGAGCTCAAACTCACCTGGTCAATAAAAAAAAAAAGCTAACAATGATGAAATCAAAATATTTCTTGTAAAATTAGAATAAAATATCAGAGCTTTCTTATCAAAAACAAAATCTATACTCATGAATCTTGGCAAATGTAAACAAGAAAATTTATGTTTCTAGACATTCAATATATACACCACAATAAAATAAAAAAATGAATCTAGTGAATTTTTATATTTTAACCATGATACGAGATTTTACTGGTTTATAATTGTGTTTTATTTTTCTTATACTGTAGTCCATTCTCAATAAATAAATAAATATAAAAATTTTACCATACAAAAGTATTAAATTAATCTCTTATAGGGTAGCCTAGCTAAATTAACAAATTTTTTCCAACCTTTTTACAATACAAGCTCCAAAACCATTGCTCCAAAATCATCTTTTTTCTTGAGAGAAACACATTATTATTTTTGACACTAGAGAAGAGATTTTTTTACAGTGATTGTGATCTCAAATTTTTGTATGTGTGAGAGGGAAGAGGGCTTTGATAGGTGAGAAGAAACGAGTACAATTCAAATTTTGATAATAAAAAAGAGAATGTTTGAATCTATTTGGTTAGAAAAGTGATATTTATTATCCAATTGTTTTTTTTTCTTTAGAGCCTATAAGTGGATGATGAAAGTGAGGTTGTTGCTGCTTACAAAGTGTATTTTTTAATTTTTTGTAGACAACAAGTTTGGCCATAAGTGATGATGATCCCAACAAATTTAATCCATCTTCACAACAGGTGCAGTTGCATTCCCAAACGATACCGGTGCTTCTTTTTCTCAGACATATTGTGTTTGTGATTTAATAAAAAAATATTTTTTAAAATATTTTTTAATTATTGTTTATATATATATATAATTAAAAATTAATTTTAGATATTTGGTTAAAATTATTGTTTAATTTGATGTTTGTATTAAAAAATAAATTACACCATGTAATTAATTAATTTTTTTACTCTTCTTCAGAAGACTACACTAGACGACTCTTTTTTATTTGATTGATGTAGGGTTGCCAGGACTGTGATATTTGGTGGCCCTCTTAATGGTGCTATGGCAGAAGATCTTCATCAAAGTGCCAAAGAGACTGGCACTGTGTGTTCTGTAACTTACCCCATTCCCAAGGAAAAGCTGTGAAAACATGGTAAGGGTTTTCTGTGACTAACTGATCCTTTGGGGTGTATGGGCATGGGAATGGATAGTGGAAGTTTCCAGATTTTAACATGATAAGATGCTGTAAGCTGTTGCTAACTTTGTTAGAATTCCTTGTTTGCATGCACATACCTCATGTGTAGTGTAAATTTTGTGCAAATCATATCTATGTGGTGGCTCTCTACCAAATACTAATCTAGGTTTCCTAATTCCAATCGGAAACAACCAAGTTGAAGCTTTTGACCCCCCCTCCCCACCCTTTTTTTTGGGTGTGTGGTGGTGGAAGCAGGAGCCTTGGCTAATTGAATTTATCTTCAGAATTTGTTTTACTATTTTGTATTTGGTAGGCAGATGATGAGTTGATGTGAACCCTACAGCTACAATCATATCATGATGCAAGTTTTCCTTTAAATAGGATGCGTTCTGATTCAATCTCTTCCATCTTAAAGCTAGGACATCAAGCTGCGTGACCATAAATGTGGCCTTCGTAATTCAACTCAACCTGTAACTCATAGAGCTGTGATGATAATTTTGAAAAAAAAATTGACAAAAAACTTGCCTTCACTTTCTTGCAGCTTGAAAACAATTATATTAAATGCTATGATATTATTACTGCAAGAGTGATTTACAATGTCAGCTGAGTGGGGCTCTGTTTCTTCTTGCATGCTGTTTAAATGCCTCTGATACATGTTATGGTCCTCTTGCTTGTTCATTTGCCATTAACTTATGGAGTTAGAGATTTTATCTTATTTGAATACAAACATCTAATTGATTATTTCCAGTTTGGAAACTGTAAACCTATAGGTCCAGAAACTTAAGGGATTTTAGTTTGCTCTGTTTTGATGATAAAAAGGTTGCTTTTTTTGTAAAATTTCTATGCCTCGAGCAAGATGGATGTAAATCAGGTGCTTCAGCTGTACTTTTCTCAAGTGTCAAAGAAGCATGTTCTTCCGTGGCAATGTTACACCAAAAATAAATAAAATATGGAATTGTTTGGGCATGAAGGGGGGTGGGGGGGTTATTTCAAATTGCTTGCTAGCATTGCTATCTTGCTACATGGAAATGATGATTGTTTTTTACTCTGCATATATTTCTATTATCAAGTCCGCTTCAAGGATTTATTTTTGAAATTTTTTTTTATCTTTTTGCCAGTTATTATCTCTTGTGGTCTATGGTTAGTGTTGTTCAATTAGATCTTGCTGAGACGAGTCAAGAAAGTTGTAAATTCTTTAAGCATAGGAAAAATAATAGTTGAAGTTTTTTAATGGCATTTACCTAAATAAAGCAGGAAAAGTGAAAGATGTGCTGAAGATCCGCCTATTGACTTATGAAACTAGAGGTATTGTGTTTGCGGGTCAGGGTTCCAAGATAAAGAAATGGAAAGTTAATGCCAGAAGTCTTCCTTTCAAGGTTATTCTATGCTAATTTTGTTATCATTTTTTTCTGGAGGAGCTTGATTTCTAAACTAGTTTACCAAACATAAATGCATGCAAAACCAAATGAGACTAAAGATGTGTTTGCATCATCGGGATTTGTTTGGGATGTGTTTGTTATCCAAGGGTTTTGCATTTGTCAAATTCACATGCGAGCAGGATGCAGAAAATTTATTCCTTATGAACTATGCCTTCTCTTAGAATACAGCTTTTGGATTCCATAAAATTTTGAATTTTTACTTTTGCCTTTTTTTTCTTCAGGCTATCAAGAAGTTCGACAGGAAAAAGTTTGGCAAAAGACCCACAGCTGTTGACTGGGCTGTTCCAAAAAAGATCTATAGTAGTGGTGCTAATGTGTCTGCTGCTTCAGAAGATGGTAAATGGGTGTTTAATTGTGTTGCGTTTTCTAACAGGACCTTGACATTTACTTAAGTCTGTAGGGTTTAGTGAAGCTTTTCAGTGCTTGTACAGAACATCAGAATGAAAGAGACAGTAGCAGTGAGGATTTGGATGATGACGAAGACGATACAGAGGTTATTTGGATGATGGTGAGGAAACTCCAGCTGCTGAAGGCATTTTAACTAGCGATATGGCTGCGAGGAACAGTTAATTTCCTCCCCCACCCCCCCCTTTTTTTTAAAATTTTTGGCACTTATTTGTGTTTGGAAATGAAGATGGAAAATATATGGTGCATGCATGTAGTCTATTAGTTTATATTTGAAAGGTTGGCCAGTGTTTTTCCAGGCAGTATCGGTAGAGATTGTTCTCTCTCAAAACATGCAGCATCCCCAGAAATCAGAAGCTATACAAGGATAGTGCCTTTGATTTTTGGTTCCTGTCCCTGAAATGAAAATGTATCTTTAAGATACATTACCAAGCTGTTTTTCAACATTTGAATTGATATTTGTGCTGCTTTTGTACAAGATTACCATCTTCCCATATCTCATAATGTTTTTTGAGTTTTGCAGGTTGCATGAAGAGAAGATGCTAAGCTTCAATCTCAAAATCTTCATATTGTATACAATTTACCAAAGTCATTGACCGAGAAACAACTGAAGAAGCTTTTCATTGACGCTGTTACCTCACGCGCTACAAAGCAAAAACCTGTCACTCAACAGGTTAGCTGCAATTCTTTATAGTTATTTTGATTTCTTGTCTTGTCTTTTTTTTTTTAATTTTTGTTTTTCTATATAGAGTTTTGCTTATATCCTGAGATAACTACATTAGTTTCATTTTGCTGATGAAGATAAAGTTTTTGAAGAGTATAAAGAAGGGAAAGGTTGTAATCATTCATGGGGAGTTGCTTTTGTTGAGTTAACCGTTCATCAGCATGTGCTGTTGGCCCCGAGGGTTCTAAATAATAATCCTGGTAAGGCATTTCATTGTCTTGTTATCTCCTATTAATATCTTGTCAGAAAATCTGTTCCTAACAACAATGCTATGTTTACCTACTTGTAGAAACTTTTGGTCCTGAACATCGCTTGATAGTCTCTTTTGCTCTTGCTAATGTTCAAATTTTGAAGCTAGGAAAAGCTAAGCTAAGCTTCGAGCTCAGCAGCTGGAAACCCATAAAAGTTCTAAAGATATGCAGGAAAACGATGAGTCACAGACATAAATGCCATTCCAAGCCAAAAGCAGATGTCCAGAAAAAAAGGAAATCCATAGTTGAGAATAGAGTAGTGAAGGACACTCGAAATCAAATAGAATTGATGAAGTGAAAAATAAGGATTCTGATAGAAAATTCTTGAAAGAACGCGGTACTAAAAAGCATACTTCTGACAAACCTGAAGGTGAAATTTTGGAGAAAAGAAAAAGGCTAAAAAAGAATTAAGACTCTGTGGGACAGGATGTGGTAGATAAACCTGACATGCTGATCGAACAATACAAATTGAAATTCTCCAAGCATACTTCTGACAAACCTTAAGGTGAAAAGCAAGCCAATAGACAGCTTAAAAGATGGTTCCGATTATGATTTCCTTTCAGTGGGTTTTTGTAGCATTTAATGGTGGATTCTTTCGTAGAAGAGTTGCGGTAATTGATTTTAATGCAATTGCTAGACATCTTTGTACTCTCAAATCTGACAGTTTTGGTTAACCTGTAATCCTGCATGTGTTGTTGAAGTATGTTGAATTCGCTGTTCCTTCAGCAAGAACGGTTCTCAGCCGATTGATGTAATTAAGTATTATAATACAAGATTAATTGGCAGAAAGCATTTTTTTACTTGAAAATTGCCCAAAGAGTCTCTCAGCAAGCCTCCAGCACCTGCCAAACCTAGAGTTCCTTTGCTCGCACCTTCCGTATCTAACATTGTCCAACATTCCAATGGGGGGAACCACCCTGATATATTTAATTCTCTCTCTCTCTCTCTCTTTCTTTTGGTTTAATGGATATTCTCCTCTACTGTCTTCAATGGAGTTTTGAGTATTGTCGAAGTTCGGGCTGGAACCTTCCCCGTCAATCTTATCAATGCATCGTTTGGAGTTTATTTTGATTAAGAAATAAAGCAATAATTCACAAATAGACATGCCTTATCAATCAATTCACAAATAGATATTTCATTGCCGTCCGAAAATTAATGTAACAATCCACACTATCAGCGATCACTAAAGCTATTTTGAGTCTTCCACAGAAGAGAACTCTTTTTCTATGATAAAAGCTAGGCAGCTGGCCACGACAAAAGTAAAGGAATCAAGTTGAAATTTTCCAAGTGCCACTTAAGGAGGAAATGATGGAGAGAGAGGGAGCACTTTACTGTATTCCGGTTCTTTTCTTTAAAGGGGTGGCAATGCTACATGATGGGCCATTGTGCCATTTTCTTGTGCGTGCTTTTGATCTCCATGTTGCTATAGTGTAACCCAAGTGCATAGCTGGCATGATGGCACAGAGCATGTCTAGTGGGAGATGGCCATGAACAAAAACACGTACTTGAAAACCACTACACTGCTGATATAATAGGGTTTCTTTCCATTGATTGATATACAAGGTACTAAATTATAAATCAAGGGGGCCCCTCGCATGGGCATATATTTCAAAAAGGCGCTCATTTAGATTGAATCCGACGTACTGCTTTCACTGCATCTATTCATTCATTTGACTCTGATGGGCCTTCTTTTTTCCAATTCTGCAGCACCGATAGCTATCGCCAACCGACATAAAATTATTGATTTTTTGTAGCTTTTCTAATCCAGATTTAGTACATATTTTGCAAGATCAAGGATTGTTTGTGATAAGAAGAAATTCAAAATCAAGTAGAGGATAACGTGCTGAGGTTGGCACACAACACGTATATGGGGTTGGTTACCGGAGCTGTTAGCATATGACCCGTGCATGTCCTTTTCCTGTTCTTTGTTCTTATCATTACATGGCATGTATTTCTTAAAAGTAGTGGCTCTCATTTGGATTGGATCATCAAAAGACGGCATAATTCTCGCAAACACATACTAAATGATTTTGTTTTCGGGCCAAATACTCTTACCTTATTTTATTGCAATTTGTGTTGTTGGTTTAGGTTTAATGTTCAGTACAAGCATTCTTATGCTTCGTTTTTTTCCTCCCTCCTTTACAAAGGAAGTGTGGGATATTTTGAGGCTGCCCCTCGTTCTGCTTTGCATAAAATATTACCACCAGTCCTTTACACCTCTAATTTTTCTATAGGGGTGGAGTCAGTGCTTTTGAGTGGTTGGCAATGCCCCATGTTTACCCTTTTGAACCAACAATCTTCCTTTACAATCATGTAATATTAGGTAAATTGTTTTCTAGACCCTATAGATTAAGCAATGTCCACTTCTATCCTGATAGATTAAAATTCTACAAAGTTAAACCCTATAATCCCCCGAAAGTTTTGAACTCTAATGCATCGCTTCTGTGTGAAATTGCTCGCTTAATGCTCACCTTTTTCCTATTTTTTCTTTCATGTCTCGGCATTATTTGCCATTGGCTATTTAACATAAAAGGGCCAAGATTTGAACTGCTTGGAAATTCTGAGGCTGGTATTGGGAGATCTTAAACAACAGAGGCAAAGTGGAACATTGCAGTGGTTAGAATGAACTTTATCTCCATTTTATTTGTAGAAAAATACTCCAAGACAAAAGTACCATTGTGTAGTTGCGGATTGGTAGTCGCATAACCACTTTCTTTGTTCTTTCCAATTTCTCGCTCTTTCTTTTCCCATATTTTATACTTCCTTTATCGACTTCCCAGGCTCCCTTGTCTCTCTTTCTCAATCTCAGAAGAGAAAATGGTAGCCAACTCAACTACCAAGTGGTTGTTTTCTCTCTCTGTAGTTTTGTTAACAGGTCTCCAGTTGATACAGTGCAATGTTACTTACGACAAGAAGGCACTTATTATCAATGGGCAGAGGAAGGTTCTCTTCTCTGGTTCTATTCACTATCCCAGAAGCACCCCTGAGGTTTTCTATTTCCCATACTCAATAACCATTCTCACATTTTTGCCAAGAAAATACTGTTTCCATGTTAAGGACTTCATTTCAATTTTGGCTGATGTGTAGTTCTATGTATGTGTCCATGAAATGCAGATGTGGGAAGGTCTTATACAGAAGGCTAAAGATGGTGGTTTGGATGTTATAGACACTTATGTCTTTTGGAACCTTCACGAGCCTTCTCCTGGCAATGTGCTTTGCTCCTTAAACTCTGTTTCCTCTGTTTTCTCGTAGTTGTTCTTGCATTTTCTGTTATCACATTGATTATTTCTGTATTGTTTTTTTTTTCTAGTATAATTTTGACGGGAGATATGATTTGGTTCGGTTCATCAAGTTGGTCCATGAAGCTGGACTTTACGTGCATCTTCGGATTGGACCGTATATATGTGCAGAATGGAACTTTGGGTAATGGTAGAGATAGTTTTCCTTTACGTGCTTCAATATTTGAGGTTCTTTACCAATCTTTTTTCTCATTATTTTAGAGGGTTTCCTGTCTGGTTGAAGTATGTTCCAGGGATAAGCTTTAGGACAGATAATGGGCCTTTCAAGGTCTCTCTCTATCTGAACATCTATTGGCATTTTGCAAGAATCCAAATGGCTATGTGAACTTGATTGTTACTGTCTTATCATCTTGATTTTGCAGTCGGCAATGCAAAAATTCACCCAAAAAATTGTTCAAATGATGAAAGATGAAAATCTTTTTGAGTCTCAAGGTGGCCCAATAATCCTCTCTCAGGTATGATCTTCAATTATCTTGCTTGTAATTCAGGCTTTCAAGAGAGCTATAAATCACAAAGATCTCCAACTTCATATTCATTAAATTTACTCTTTCTTATACTCTTAGATTTTTTTAGTGCAGATTGAGAATGAGTATGAGCCTGAAAGCAAGGCATTTGGATCTCCTGGTCATGCATATATGACTTGGGCTGCACATATGGCTGTTTCGATGGATACCGGGGTTCCATGGGTTATGTGCAAGGAGTTTGATGCCCCAGACCCAGTGGTAAGAAAACTAGTATATTTCCCCTAAATTTATTTCATGTTGATGGATTCGCTGGTGAAGTCCTTCAATGAATGACAACATTTGATATCAACAAGTGATGAAATTTATTTTGTTGCAAGGAATTAAGACAGAACCTTAATTTTAATGCAAGTGTCATTTCTGCTTTAACAATGAGGGTCTTAAACCATGTTAGTAAATCTTATCAACAGATAAACACCTGCAATGGTTTTTACTGTGACTATTTCTCTCCAAATAAACCTTACAAACCCACAATGTGGACTGAGGCATGGACTGGCTGGTAAGTTTCATGCTTATCATCGGTCCTTAAAAGTGTTCTGTGGGATGCATACTTTTATTTGCTTTTGGTATTTTGTATAGGTTCACAGACTTTGGCGGTCCAAACCACCAGCGCCCGGCTGAGGATTTAGCATTTGCAGTTGCTCGGTTCATTCAGAAGGGAGGCTCTTTGGTTAACTACTACATGGTTAGTCTGCCAACTTTAACATTACATTCGATGCTAAAATCCCATTAACAATAATTGATCCCACAAAACTTACACAATTCTTTGTATTACAAGAAGCAAATGCATTTACTTTCTCTTGTCCTCCAGTCCTCAAAGAAAAAGCAGAACAGCTTCCTTTAAGGACAAGGAAGATTCTGAACTTTGCATCTGATAAAGTTTCTAAATAAAGTTTTTCTTGCTTTTCATAAAGGTTCCGCTGTCAAAAAAAAACATTTCATCTTGTAGCTAGCAGATTATGGTCTTCCGATAAGGCATTAGCTGGATTTCTCATTTGACAGGCTACCGCGAATTGTATCACACTCTAAACAATGTAAATATCATTATGATCAAGATAATTATTTTTGCAGTACCATGGAGGAACCAACTTTGGAAGAACTTCTGGAGGCCCTTTCATCACTACAAGCTATGACTATGATGCGCCGATCGATGAATATGGTGACAAATTTGAGCTCATCCTGTTTTCTAATCAACTAGTCTGTTTTTGATATTTCACCAACTCATGGCAGCTCCATACTAATTCAATAGGATTGATCAGGCAACCTAAGTATGGCCACTTAAAGGAGCTACATAAGGCTATTAAATTATGTGAAAAAGCTTTGCTTGCTGCTGATTCTACTGTCACAACCCTGGGAAGTTATGAGCAGGTTTGTAATGTAAACTCTACAGAGGATGTGAGAGAAATAAATTCACCAGCACATGGATACTGTTGTGTAGTTTATATATGCACACACTTGTTGATGCAATATAACATTTTTCAGGCACATGTATTCTCTTCTGATTCTGGAGGCTGTGCAGCTTTCCTGTCAAACTACAACACGAAGCAAGCTGCAAGGGTAAAATTCAATAACATCCAGTACAGCCTGCCACCTTGGTCTATCAGCATCCTTCCAGATTGCAAAAATGTTGTTTTCAACACTGCCCAAGTAAGTGAAAGGAAACAATAAGGCTTTCTTCCAATTCACCGTACTTTGTAAATCTTTCACTGGTTCTTTTTTTATTTACCATGCAATCATTTTTCTGCAATTCATCCTGTATCATGGCTTAATTGAATACATGCAATCCCTACCATCATGATGAGATACATTACTTGGTATGATTTCAGCAAAAACAGAATGTACTTTTCGCAAGATATTGTGGAATATGAACCATATAATATCCCTCAATTTGCAGGTTGGAGTTCAACCATCCCAAGTGCATATGTTGCCTACAGATTCTGAATTGCTCTCATGGGAAACCTTCAACGAAGACATATCATCAGTGGATG